ATCTCAAAATACACGACCCATGGCTGGAAGAGAGATAAATACAGCCATTTGCGCAAATGGCTGTATTTCTGGGATAAGAATCCAGGGCCCCAGAAATACAGCCATTTGTGCAAATGGCTGTATTTCTGGGATAGGAATCCAGGGCCCCAGAAATACAGCCATTTGTGCAAATGGCTGTAGTTGTGGGATATGAACGCAGGGCACGAGAAGTACAGCCATTTGTGCAAATGGCTGTAATTGTGGGTTAGGAGTGCAGGGCCCGAAATGTACAGCCATTTGTGCGCATGGCTGTCCTTCCCCGGTCCACATCCAATCCTGTCTGCTGGTTTGTGCAATGCAGAATCTATTCTTGTGCCTTCTAGAGCCGCAGATCCAAAGCCCCAGTCCAAAGCCAGAGAATAGGTTAGTGAGCTGGGTTTTTCTGTGCTGCTTCCAACAACAGAGTTTGCTTCGGTCGATTATTATGTGATCACTCTCATGTCGCCCAGCTTGTGCTTAGGAGTGTTGTTGTTTCTTGTTTTCAGTGTTCTCTGGCATCCGAGGGCACTTGACCCGGAGTTGCGGGGCGTGGTCAAGGCCAAGGATGTCAAGTTCGATCCCGAGAAGCTCGGCTTCGTTTGTGAGGCTCGTGGGGAAGCACAACAGCAATTCTTGGAGAAGGGCCAGTCCAAGATTCAGAATGCCTTGCGGCAAGCCGAGCGCAGTGCCTACGAGCTTTTCGAGCGGCAGCTCTTGAACGACCAGTCCCACTTTCGTTCGTGTCTCGGCTTCAGTTAAGTTCTGTGTTATCGAACAAACCCACAACCCGAGACTTGGAAGTTTTTCTCTTATACTATTTCTGCAGTGCTAGATATTTAGTCGCTGGGCATTTGGTTCTGATAGTGATTGGTGACAGTCTGAAAGCTATGTCGTGCTGAGATGAACCTTGTTCTTAGTGTAGAGCCCATAAGGGAGCTGCTGCGAACTTCCGGTGATACCGAGCGGAAGCGACAAGCTGCTGTATCCTTGCTGGAGGACAGGTTTCAGGGTCTCACTTGCAGTTTTGCCAGCCTGAGCTGTCTCTAGCAGGTGTTGTGGTTTCATATGAGACTCTTTTGCTAAATATGTCCGCCCTGCAGACACTTCACAAGACCGGGTGGGCCCAGATTCGTGAGTACGGGGATGAGAACTTCCCTCTCTTCAACGTGGCTCCGAAAAAGAGGACGGGAGTCGACCGCGACTTCGAAGTGAAGCCGCTGGATCCACAGCTGAAACCGTGGCTTTCCAAAAGCCTCGTCGGCCTGCAAGGTGGTGTGAGGAACTCCGGGGCGGAGCTTGTGGTGTACATCGCGAACCTGGCCACCCAGGGTGTTGTCAGTGCGCCGAAGGTGAGTTTCCTGGTGAATTCCTTGCAAACAGCGGCAGCCAACATGCCAAACACCTTCGTCGCTGTTGTGTTCATGCCGAATCGTGCCGCGGACGGCCGGGTCAGGACGTGGCCAGCACGCATGATAACATTTGTTGCGTGACTATATAGAGTGAGCTTTTGCTCAAGACTTGGACCATTGCGTTGCATTGTGCATTTGTTTAGGCTTACAGCAACCAAGGAAGGAGCAAGAGCAGGAGGAGGAAAACGAAATGAACAAGGCCGTCGAGGACGACCCAACGGACGACATCGACAGCGACGCCTTGAAGGCATCCAAGGTCGAGGCGACCTCGGCGCTGAGGGACTTCAAGTACACCCTCATGGTGACTTTGCAAGAGCAGGCGAGAGGCCTGGAGGTCAGACCTTTGAGCTTGATCTTCGACGATGCTACGGTCTACGGACAAAGGAATGCTTCTCACGAAGCTTGGCTGGTGACGAGCACACAGGCCACCAGCTTGATCCGGAAGACGATCTTCAAAAGGCTCGTCCTTGACAAAGTTCCGATGCTGCCGCGGTCAGTTGCTTTGCTTCATTGCGGTTGTTTTTTCCTGAGTGAATATGCTGCAGTATGCCCACACTTGTGTTTGTGGTGTTCGGTGGCTTGCATGAGGACATGACCCTGTCAGTTTGTTTTGGGTTGGCTGAGCTGAGGAGATGGTCAAGGTTGAGGCCGGTCGCAAAGTGGGCGCCGACAGCGATCGGTTGTCAAAGTCCCAGGAGAGGTCAAACGCTTTGCTGCTGTTGTTCTCCCCCCCCCCCACCCACCCACCAACCCACCCACCATGTGATCTCAGTGCTGACAGTTGTTTTGTTTGTGAGGAGATGCGGCAACATCTTGGAGGGACGGGCTTGGTGAAGAAGGTGCTGGTTGCATTGGATGCACCTAGGTCGAATACGGTTATCGTGGACCTCTTCGGCCATGACGGCTGGGTCGCACTTGCAGCCGTGCAGATGCAAATGGAGAACGTGAAATGTGTTTGTGCCACGGTGGCACACACCGATGTGGAATACAAGTTCTGCAAAGAGCCTGGGATAGAATTTAGTGACGTCAGATCCAGTCTTTTGTCTGAGTGTTGCATTGTCTGTGTTTCGATCGAGGATGTGCTGCTGCACTGCTTGTTCAGCAAGGCAAAAGGGAAGCAGATGCAAATCAACGGATTTCCGGACTTCGCCGCTGCAATGGCCGACCTTGCAAAGGTGCATACATCCGAAGCCCGGTCTGAGTATGACTACCAGGTCACGGTGCCGGTGGGCGGTTGCCTCATCATCTTGCAGGCGCTTGTGACCAAGTTCCAGGCGTCCCAGCTGGTTGCGGATGACTTTGACAAGGTGTTGGCAGCCCACGACAAAGAATTCAACCGGGACCACAAGACGGCGTCTGGGCCTGTGGGCAGTGACGAGGCCAACAACAAAGTTGTGCAAAGCCCCAAGAAGTTGCAGAAGGACTATGACGATATGGGGAGCTTCCAGAGGGAGCACAAAACGCATCTAAACCTAAAGTTGTGTTTGTTGATGTGTGCCGCTTCCGATTGTGTCCCTTGAGCAAGCCATTGACTTTATGTCTCAGGCTGATCGAAGCTTCGATGGGTGATTACTCGTTGCTGTATGACCCAGAGGACGCAAGCCTCTGGGTCCACAGCGACAAGATTGCTTCCATTCCTGCCAATACAGAATGGCTGGGCTTCGGGTCTGGTGACTTTGCAGACGGTGCAACCGCCAACGACATACTCTCCGACCCGTGCGGGAGATGGTTCCGGTATGGCCTCGCTGGCCCAATGAAGGAATTGCTCATCATTGCTGAGTGTGACCGAACGTTGCCAGACGAGGTGAAAAACCTGACCGTGTGGAACAAGGTGTCCAGACTGAGATTAAGTTCAATCGATGTGCATAGGAAGCCAAAGTCGATCTGACTTATTTGTATCATTTCTGTGTCACGTGAAACTTTGTGTCTGTGTCTGAGGTGATGACCCTGAAAGCATTTATTGTGGCAATGGAAGATGCCGGCGAGCTCGTCACCGTCATGGGCTCCCAAAAGGGTGATAATGATGACGTGCAGCCGATCGAGAAGATCGTCTTCATTATGGACCCAATGAAAGGGGCCAATGCTCCCAAGAAGCGCAAGATCTCCAAAGCTTCTTGTTTCGTACATGATGTGGCTTAACACCTGTGTATCCAAACTTTTCTTGTGCAGCTGTGGCAAGCATTGCGTGTGTGTGTGTGTGTGGATGCTGTAGCAGTGATAGTTGTGTATTGTGTTGTTTTCGGGGGCCTTGTCTTGTGGTCTTTTGCTCTCGACTACATGGTGCTCGAATCGTGGATGCTGTAGCAGTGATAGTTGTGCATTGTGTTGTTTTCGGGGGCCTTGTCTTGTGGTCTTTTGCTCTCGACTACATGGTGCTCGAATCGTGTGTCGTGTGAATTCAGGTCCGCCCCATCACCTTCGGTGCCCATATGGATGTGGCCAAAGTCCGCTCTCTACGTCCTCCATTCCAAGTGTCATGGCGCGTGAGGCCGGATGATGTAGAAGCGATGTGATAACGACAATTTCTGGAATGAGTGGGTAGTAACCCGTCAGATCTTATCCCCCACAAGCTGCATCATGTAGCATCTCTTCTGGGACAGCTTGCCCCTGTTCTGTCAGGCTTACCCATCATCGTGTGATCTCACCTGTGCAACCCGTGCTGCTGCACACCCAGGAGGTGCAACTCACGCCGGGCATTCACCGGCTCTTCTGAGTCGTCGGGTAGTCTGTGACTCGAAACTATCAGGTCTGTGTGTGTGTGTGTGTGCGTGCGAGGGCCTCTGTTAAGGACCCCTAGGACCCGAAGCCACTCTGGTAACAGAGCTAGTGAGGGAACTCATTTCGAAAATTCCCGATCGTGTCTGAGACAGAACCTAGGGTGCATCAGCTTGAACCGGAGAAACCCTTATTAACTTGCTAAGACTACCTATGCTAACCCTTCGGTTTGCTTCGTGAGCATTCTGAAGCATTCTGTGCTAGACCTTTTCGGGTTGTTGGGAAAACATGCTTCGACAACAGGGTTCCAACCTATGTAGTGCCACACGTACCTCGCCGGGAGATGCCGCACACGCAGCTGATGGGTCACCTCAGGTGTGGAGTCAC